GCCACCGAAAATTGATCACTTTTAGGGAAAATATTCACACATTCAGATCATCAAAAATTTAAAATTTCCAAGACAGATATATATCTTGTAGTTAATGATATCGAAAAACAAAACAATATGGATCAACTTGGGGCACTAAGAGTATCCAAAAAGAAACCAAAAAAAGTTGTACCCTAGCCGTGGTAAGAAAAATGCAGCATCTTGCAACAGGTGGGAATCCATGAGCACGAAGTTCAGTGGGAAAATCTGTCCACATGCCACAGTACACGAAATAACCAAGAAGGATGTCTGTCCAGAAACGAGGCCAACAGATTAAAATTGTATCTACTGTTCATACCCAATGCAGCTGGAAAATGAAATGGGTTTTCATACTATTCCATATGAAGACATACCAGATGCAGTGCCTATAGATTTCTATATAATTGGACTGTTGAAACGAGCTCTGGGACACAGATATCCTGGTACATTAAATGAGTAATGGAAGTAATATGTGCTTCGGACATTACAATCTAACAAAAAAGTTTTTTACAATAGAACCTATGCTGCAGAGATAATGCCAAGACTCACAGTCATCAGGTAAAGCATGACTGGATGTGGCAACATGGATTGTAACGATGTGGCGAAGCTCCAAAACCATTCCAATATAACATACTCAACTTTCGTAGCTTTTTATTTTTTGATGTAATCCCACTTTATATAAAATTACAACACCATCATCTGTATCAAATTTAGTGATTACAAGATCCTTACAATTTTTTACTGTTCTTTTGAGTAGGTCAAACATCTTGTAACATCACAAGAGAACATCCAATGGTTTGAATTTCTATCTCTTCGGAAGTTGAGCATTCATTTTTACAAAGTTCATATTTCAACTGTTCTTGTAAAACAAAAGTTTCAAGCTCAGAAAATAATAAGGTGCAGTAACTTCTTAAGAGATTTAGAAAATTGAAGCACTTTGACTACCTGTAGTTTTTCCCATGTCATTTTCCAATTCCAAGAAAAAAGTATCACTTGTAATACTAGAATCTCTTGCCATTAACTAAGAAAACCAGCTTTTAACCATAAGATGAGCATGCTGCCAGTAAATCTTTAATTGTGAAAATGTAAAGGAAAGAACAAATAATCGAATAAATCAATGTGCACCGACTGGAAAACTAAGTACGTTCTTTTTTAATAACTATTTTCAGCTAAATTGCTAGCAACAAATCTACAATGTCTACAAATAACCTTGTTATCTATAAAGAGAGGCACAAACATGGTACAGTACCACTGGAAACAAACCTACTGGCAATAACAGCCTCTTCCTTCGTAGTTGATACTATTAGCATCTAGAAACAGAATTTCAGATTCAATACAGAACAGGGTTATTTATCATTCATGGGCAATAACAACCTCATCTTTCATAACTGATACCATCAGCACCTAGAAACAGAATCTCAGACAAATTACTGAACTGGGTATACAAAATAACAATAATTTTCAGCATAAAATAATTTTTCTTAAATTTAGCCATTAGAAACACAATACAAATATGGGTAATTTAAACACATTTTAAAAGCTTCAATATTTTCCATGTTATGTATTGAATACATGTTATATGTAAAACGAAAAAGTATTTTTTCTGTCACTGTTGATGTTTTCTGCGGTCTCGAAATATACCTAAATCTAATCTTATGTAAAACACACATAAAGAGTAATTATTTTCAGTCCTACCCCTGACAGTATTATTATTACTAATACAAGATTTATTTATGAAATATGTTCTCAGCTGCAGAGTGGTGTGGAAGATAATAGCAGGAATGTATCTGCATCACCATTTAATTATTGGGATAGATGTGAAAGAGGGAAACACACACTAATTAGAAGCTGACAGATACTAACTGGCCAAAGTGGTAGCTTTCCTTAAAACACCTGGTAAACAGTGAGGTTCTGGCAGCTCCAGTTATCAGAAAATATCGAATGATGTTTGGTGTAAACTGATTGCTGCACTCAGCCAAGCTGACAGGTACTAATTGGCTAAAGTGGTAGCTTTCCTTAAAACACCTGGAAAACAGTGAGGTTCTGGCAGCTCCAGTTATCAGAACATATCGAATGATGTCCATGGTTCTCCAAACCAGCCATCATGATGTTTGGTGTAAACCGACTGCTGCACTCGGCCACACTGACAGACAGATCTAACTAAAGTTTCACTGATGAAATGGTCCAAATATTTTGCTGTCCCCTTCAACACAGGTAGGAAAGCCAAGGAAAAGCTATAGCTATGACTAGTTAAGCCTGGATAAGTGGTGTAATGCTTGATACTGTGCCTAGATGAACATATGCTCAATGCATTTGGAAAAGGAACAACTTACAAACTGAAACACAATTATCAATGAATTGAGATGTAGATTTGATTCTAGAAGAAAGAGCAATCCATAAGGACAAGTTCAAAAGTAAGGGTCCCACAAAGATTTAGCTGCTTATGTAGACAATTTAAGGAGATTGCATGGGAAGGCATTCCTGATCATATTTCCCACAGAATGTAATGAGATACTCATCAATAAGTTTATTGAGGCACATTTCATCACTCGTATCGGCAGTTCATGTGGTAACACAGTTTGAATTGATCACCTCAAACTGTGTGCTGGAGAAGAGAAAGAAAGTCGTAAGTGTCAACTGCAGCTGTGGTCTCAGTTCTAAGATCCATGATGGTCCCAAGGTTCAGAATAAGCACCAAACAACAGTACTAATGCAGCAAATGTTGCAAGGCATTACAGTTAAGCAACCACAGTTTCCTGTAGTACAACAATTTCTCAAGTTTTACTATAGCTGTGCTACAAATGCAACTAGAATTGGAATTCAAAAGATGTCAAGAAGATGATTTAAGAAGACCCAGATTCAACTGTGTCTTGCCTGGTCACTGGTTATGTCTAATCCTGTCATAACACAGAACTAATGGATCCAAGTACCAATCCGACATGAAAGCTAAGAAAAAACTATAGCTGGAACTAATTAAGCTAGTTTAAACTAACAAAGAAGTCAGTTTACACCAAACATCATGGTAGCTGATTCAGAGAACCATGGACAAGACATCATTTGATATGTTCTGATAACTGGAGCTGCCAGAACCTTGCTGTAAACCAGGTACTTCATGAAAAGCTACCCCTAGGGCCAGTTAGTATCAATCTCGTTTTGGCAAATTGGAACAAGCTATGCACAAGTTGATAGCCATTTGTATGACTTTTTCTCTGCAATGTCATGTGTTGAGTGATGGTAGTTGTCTCTGATCAGTGTATAGACATAGAAGTGATACTAACAACTTGAGTAGTAGATGTCACAGCCACTGTACTGTGCCAAAGAAGGAACATGCAATCTCCAGAGCATCTAAAGTATCTATCTGAGAATTGCATAAATGTTGGAATTACAACTTTTAGAGAGCACTTGGTCATCTCTGATGGAGACTTTCAGAAAGAATGTAAGCACATCTAATTTTATGTGAACTTTAAATGGATAAACATCATAACACACATTAAAACTTCTTTACCATGCATAGATCAATATGTTAGAATGTCCTGTTGTTTCAGTATACTAGATCTGGCTTCTAATTAGTAACAAATTGGACTGGATGACAAGAGCAGACTTAAGAACTATATAAATTCTGCATCATGCTATTTGGTTTTTGCAATGTGCTTTTAAGTGTTAAGAGGTTCATAGTGTTTTTACTTACAAACTCCAATGGTAAGAATGTCTTATCTATGTGGATGACATACTAGAGTATTTTCACACATTTCAAGCTACAGCTGAGAGCCTGAGAATGGTATTCAAATGCATCAAGGATGCAGGCTTGAAACTTAAATCAAGATGCGTGCATTCATGTGTCCAGTAGTGAACTTTTTCTTGTCTTCTTCCCAAGACCAAGAAAATTAATTAGTATGTGGTTTCAAATGAGTGACATCAACTATTTTGTATCGGTTAATTATATTAATAGGTTCAGAGAATACTTTAGTATTAATCTAAGTGTGTATTGGCCCTAAGAGCTTTGACATCCGAGAAAACATAAAACAGCTTTCACTCCTATTTATTAGAGATATTAACTGAAACATAAATTTTAAGCAGAGGAATATAATAATTGGTTAATAACTTTTTCACACTCCCATTGAATAAGATCTAGCCATTTTCTCCATAACAGACCTATTTTGAGAAACAGAATGAAATGTGGATATGTACTAAGAAGTTTGCGAAATGTGTATAAAATATTTTTTTTATTGAAAATACTTTCTCTGTATCTATTCTTACTCATGATTGAAACATACGTACCATGGTGCATGTTGGTTAAATGACAAAAATCCTGATGAAAATTACATTCCTTATATTACCAGTTCTATATATATATTTTGTGAAATAAATGTGGGTATAATATAGGTAAAACTGACATGTCTTCAAATTAAAATAGTAGGCTGTAATTTTTCATCTATCTTGAATCAAACTAATTTCCTAAGACAGAATGTGGTTTTTAAAACTAAACTAATGACACAAAAATCCTCCAACTGCATTATTATACACATGTATGTTTATTTGTGAAAATAAATCTAAAAATAGGATCTTAATAGCTTATTTTAACATTGTCTGAAGATGTATTAATTGCAGGTTCTTATTCTTTAGATGTATATGGGTAGAAAAGAATCCATATTGTATTCATGAAAAACATCTTTATGACATTTTCTATTCACACCAAATATTCAATATTCTTCCATAGAGTTGATTTCACACCAAATATTCAATATTCTTCCACAGAGTTGATTTCACACCAAATATTCAATATTCTTCCATAGAGTTGATTTCACACCAAATATTCAATATTCTTCCACAGAGTTGATTTCTTATGGTTGAATTTATTACATTTTTCTGTTGTGAAGTTAATGATACATAAACAGAATCCAACAAATGGAATAAACATAAGTTGGCACAAAAAACACAAGACATTCTGCTTTGTCACATCAAGTAAATACATACTCAAACAATTATATCTTAAACTGTACAAATTTATTCATAAGTTTTTACATGATTTTTTTTAATTACACGTCTCACTCTGAGAAATCAACAACATAATTTTTGCAAGAGATACTGTACATTATTGGTATGTTCAGCTTCTTCAGCTGTACTCCTAAGTTGTAGTGGACAAAGAGAAGGATGAGGTGGTTGCAAGTTTACAGAATTGGATACGCTGATGAGGTACAACCAAACAACATCTGGGTCCACTTGGATTAAATTGTCAAAGGCACCCAGAGCAGCCTGCATTCATATAAATCAAATGAAAAATTATTATGTAAAAAAAAAAGCTGGGATACTTTACAAAATCACTGATAATGTACATATAACAGAACAAGAAATTAATTAAGGATGGGTCCATCCTTCTAGCTAATTAATACACATTTCTATTAGATGATCATATTCGAATGAAGTATTTTCTACTTTTGTTTGAAACATCATTAAATCATAACCTTTCAGTCAGACTAGAATATACTAATACAACACACCACACAAATAGAAACATCATTAAATCATAACCTTTCAGTCAGACTAGAATATACTAATACAACACACCACACAAATAGAAACATCTTTAAATCATAACCATTCAATATGAAGTTATACTAATACAACACAACATACAAATAGAAACATCTTTAAATTATAACTATTTATTACAAAGTTATACTAATACAACACACCAGATAAACAGAAACAACATTAAATCAATGTTTCAATCAGACTAGGTTATACTAATACAACACAACATACAAATAGAAACATCTTTAAATTATAACTATTTATTACAAAGTTATACTAATACAACACACCAGATAAACAGAAACAACATTAAATCAATGTTTCAATCAGACTAGGTTATACTAATACAACACACCAGACAAACAGAAACACCATAAAATCAATGTTTCAATCAGACTAGGTTAAACTAATACAACACCCCAGACAAACAGAAACATCATTAAATCAATGTTTCAATCAGACTAGGTTACACTAATACAACACCCCAGACAAACAGAAACATCATTAAATCAATGTTTCAATCAGACTAGGTTATACTAATACAACACACCAGACAAACAGAAACATCATTAAATCAATGTTTCAATCAGACTAGATTATACTAATACAATAAACCAGACAAACAGACATTTAAGGGATAATAATATCATAATCATATTTGTTAATTTTGAAACAATTCTTTGTTTAACCAAAAATTAAACTTTATTGTCATATGTAATTTTATGATCAACCATGATACTCTATTTTGCACAAGGAAGCATCCTTCAATCACAAATCCTTTTCATCATTACTATCCGAATATTATGAAAAAAGGATTAATTTTTCACATTTCATGATGACATAAGGAAGTTTTGTTTACCTGCAAATTATTTTTCGCCAACACTATCTGAACATTATGAAAAAGGATTCAGTTGTGATGGCAGTGAGTTGAATCACATGAAAAAATACGCAGATCGGGAGATGTATTCTTTCACAGTGCCTTATTATCTGAACCCAACTAATCACAATAAGAAATAACACAATATTCATTGTGATTAAAGCCAGCATCAAACCTTATCCTTATAGTTTTAGGCCACAGCCCAAACTTTATATTTTTTACTTTCATTATTCAATCACATAATGAATGATGAGCCTGTATATGTAATATTTGTTACATACAAAAAGTTAATACTACACACATGCCTACTCATCTAACTTTACTTTGAACTATCCATGAAATTTCAAAAACTGCTAACTTGGTGCCAACAATACAGTGATTACCTGGCAAATGGGTGCCAACTATACAGTGATTACCTGGCAAATGGGTGCCAACTATACAGTGATTACCTAGCAAATGGGTGCCAACTATACAGTGATTACCTGGCAAATGGGTGCCAACTATACAGTGATTACCTAATAAATGGGTGCAACTATACAGTGATTACCTAGCAAATGGGTGCAACTATACAGTGATTACCTAGCAAATGGGTGCCAACTATACAGTGATTACCTAGCAAATGGGTGCCAACTATACAGTGATTACCTAGCAAATGGGTGCCAACTATACAGTGATTACCTAGCAATGGGTGCCAACTATACACTGATTACCAAGCATCATCAGTTTCAGGTATTCAGATATAAAATAAGCAGTAAATCTTCAACTGATTATAAGAAATTAACCAAGTAACTTATATGTAGCTACTGCTTCAATATGCAACCTGTGTACACAATAGAGCATAATATTAAAACCACTCAGAAATGTATATTTATTCATATGAATAGCCTTCCTCAGATTCAAATAAGCCTCAAAAACCAGAAATAACTAAGATTTTGGTTTCTGTATATAACACAACAATACCACTAATACCAGAATACAGGTGGAAATACAAGTTATAACAATCAATTAAAACAATAACATAAATGAATAAATACAAATATAAGGTATTACATTAGATTTTATCAAAATCTTGAAAAATAAAACTGATGTTAATGTTAACACAGATAATTGTAATTGTAACATAATTAAGTTATATTTGAATAGCCATAACTCTACAATACAAAGTACCATGTGAACAATACATAACTGGCTTTAAACCCACTTTAAAATATCATAGTAATTTTAAAAATATTATTAAAGTATGATACAAAAAGTAATAATATAAGTAAGTTAATGTGCAGTAGATTATTCTATAGTTAGAGCCTGTTTTTTTCATGTAGAAACTTGTAAAATTTAAAGTAAAAAGTTAACTAAAAAAAAGACAAAAGTTAGAAAGAAGTTAAAATACATCAGTTATATTTTTGGGAATAAAAGTTCCATTCATACCATGATTTTATTGTGTTCAGACATTTGTCACATAGAATTATCCTCTGAAACATAACATAATGTTGGTACCTAAAAGTAATGTATAGAATGGTCATGTTTATTCAAAATGTTAAGCAAACGGTTTGCCAGGGTCATTATTTACAGTACTTCTAATGTGTCCCTGGGCCCTTTCCTCTCCAGCATGTGGCCAATTTTGTATACATATAGATGACCAAAGCATTTGTAAGTTTATAATAGACTAGACAATTGTAATAGCAGTTGAATGAACCTCTGATATAGTATATGGACTTTGTTCTGATAACGCAAGTTCTACATTCTCTATGTCAGGTGTTGTAGCAACAGTGATAATGTTATGTACCTTTGGGAATGTGGGACCAAAAAAACCACACATTACATTAGATATTCATTCACCTGTTTATAAAAATGTCAAGTTTATTGAATCATCTGTAAATGCTCTGGTTAAATCAGTGAATTTTGGAGAAACCTAAATGTTACACGAAATAAGTTTTGAATACTCGATGCCTGTATATTATGTGTCGCATATAGAGTACATATATCAAGATGAATAAATTAAATAACTGGGATCAGTAAATCTAAAAATATCATGCAAACAATTTTTGAGTGCAACTAAAAGATAATGGAAATGAAACCACAAAAAAAATAATAAAAGGATTCTACTAATTTGACAACAACTTTGGTAAGTTTCAAAACTTTGTAGCAAAAACTGTCACTTAATATAAAATTAGCAGAATAATTGTTCTGCACACAGAATAAACACAACTGTTGCAACAAAGGGATTAACACATCTGGGGAGGAACATTCTGCCCAAAATGTCATAGAAGTATGCACAAGTTTCAAAGTAGTATCAATATTATGCCATATAATTTATCCTATGCCATTTCCTGCCACACCACTCTTTGAAACGTTTAATGTCTCCTTTGTCCAAACTGTGGATACTACATCCTAGTGAATGTCCTGGCTAGAAGTGTAAAGTTGATTTACATATACAAAACACCACAAAATACAGAACTAATACTTAAAACATAGAAACAAAATTTAGTTTAGTTATGTTTGATACAAATTCTACGTAAGGTCATTTACCTGCTGTAGGGCAAGAGGTTGTGAAAAACTTAGATATGGATGAAGTACACCTGTCAACAGCCCAACTTCATTTTCTTGAAAGCCAAACTAAAATAAATTTTCATTACTAAAAACACCTTTCTTATCCAAAAAGTTTGTTTCAAACTGGCTGTGAGTAAAATACATTCAAATATTAAAGAACTGTTTTACCAAAGTTTTGTTTTTATATTTGTTATTGTTTTAAAACTTTTTGATGTTATTTCAGATGTAATTTAAAAGTATCCTACTACATCAATTTCTAAGTTGTCTAGATATTATTTACATCATCGAAATATCATCTTTATTTAATGTTATGTGTTTCATCAGCTACAGGTTCAACATCTAAATAGTGTGGCTAGACATTACTTAATGTTATGTGTTTCAACAACTACTGGTTTGACATCTAAATAATGTGGCTAGACATTACTTAATGTTATGTGTTTCATCAGGTACAGGTTCAACATCTAAATAGTGTGGCTAGACATTACTTAATGTTATGTGTTTCATCAGCTACTGGTTCAACATCTAAATAATGTGGCTAGACATTACTTAATGTTACGTGTTTCATCAGGTACAGGTTCAACATCTAAATAGTGTGGCTAGACATTACTTAATGTTATGTGTTTCATCAGCTACTGGTTCAACATCTAAATAATGTGGCTCGACATTACTTAATGTTATGTGTTTCATCAGCTACAGGTTTGACATCTAAATAATGTGGCTAGACATTACTTAATGTTATGTGTTTCAACAACTACTGGTTTGACATCTAAATAGTGTGGCTAGACATTACTTAATGTTATGTGTTTCAACAACTACTGGTTTGACATCTAAATAATGTGGCTAGACATTACTTAATGTTATGTGTTTCAACAACTACTGGTTTGACATCTAAATAAACTGTGGCTAGACATTACTTAATGTTATGTGTGTTTCATCAGCTACAGGTTCAACATCTAAATAGTGTGGCTAGACATTACTTAATGTTATGTGTTTCATCAGCTACAGGTTTGACATCTAAATAATGTGGCTAGACATTACTTAATGTTATGTGTTTCATCAGCTACAGGTTCAACATCTAAATAGTGTGGCTAGACATTACTTAATGTTATGTGTTTCATCAGCTACAGGTTTGACATCTAAATAATGTGGCTAGACATTATTTAATGTCATCGTTTACTTCTTTTTAACAAGGAATGTAGAATTAACTTCTACCAGACGAGTTGAAAAAAACATACAATAACAATTAATGGTAGTCTTAATTACAATGTAATTAGAGACATAAAAATGATAAAAAAAAGCTATAAAGAATTTTAAAATTTAAATGTAGACCCTTACAGTCAATGTCCATTTTTATCATAAAACTTAAAGACAAAAATTAATATTATTGACTCTACTTAGCATTGACTGTTGAAGTTATTCCAGGAAATAGTTTATTTACACGAGCATTTACTATGAAGAATTGACATTTTCATTAAGTCTGTTCATTCAGATCTAAGTATTTGCACATCAACTGAAAAAATAAAATTTATACAGATATATGTTCATTCTAAAATGAGCTGACACAAAATTTCATATAATGAGGTTTAAATTTTGTGAAATATTCCTTCCTGATGCTATCAAGTAACCAGAAAATATAGGTTAACTATATTTTAAACTGATACCACTATTCACCCAATTATAGAGCTGGTCAGTTAACTATTAATCAGTTATCTCTAAGCACTGATTAAATAAAATAATCAAGTAATCAAAGTTAGTGTCACCAATTATTGCTCTTTTCAATTATTCCAGCTATCAAATTCTTCTGGAAGACAGTCAGTTACGTGAATATAACTGATTAATGATCCTGACAATTAATTGACCAGAAATTCTTCTAATTGTCCAACTACACACTTTTATAATGATACTAACTGTTTTTTAGTTCTTACCTTCTGAGCTAGCAACCCTATTCCACTAAGAAGTTTCAGCTGAAACTTATAGTTTCCTGTGAAATGATAGGAACCACTGTTTTTACCATAGCTGTAAGATAAAACTTGGATAAGTTAAATTTTCCATTCTGAAATTTTTCTTATGTGTAGGGGGCTTTGCCCAAATCTAAATCTTTTATTGAATGAGGAGAAACCATTCACTGAGAAATCTAAACAACTACTGTAGTTAAAGTTAATATGTACATGCTATATATGTCCTTTCCGTTTTCTTAAATACTGTTAAAGTTCGTTTTTTGGGGTTACACACATCCTTCTTTTTTTAACCTTTGTTTTTTAACCTAGCATAAATGACAATACACATAAACACAAACAATAAAATATTCAAAGTCTTCTTTAAGAAGCACTGAGCAATGAATCTCAAAAATAAACACTCCTTGTAATGATAATGGATATAAATATGGTCACCATCATGTAATTAAAACAGAAAGTTTGAACAGTACTCAACTACACACACACACACACACATGTTCAAGCATGATACACTGCTTTGCTGTACTTAACCCTTTTAAGACGGGTCACGGGTGAAAGGCCATGTCATCTCATTTGTTGACTCACATTCAAAATTTCATTGAACTAATATTTCATGAAGTTATGGTAGTAAGTTTGGAACAAATTGTAGATTATAATTCAAATTTTAGTATTATACATTACTCAATTTCTTAATTTGAAAGTAAATATTAAAAAACCAGTTAAACATCAATTTTTGTGTGTCACGTAGTATGTTGAATGCAGCAGTGGTTCAAATTAGGTGTTTGTAATGTCAAAATACCAAGTCTATAGTTTCATATGAATTAGGAACTCAAATTACTGATATTGAC